CCGGCGTGCGCGGCGCGCGTATGAGCGCGTGTACGTGTGAAATTATTAAAGGTCCAACACTCCAGAAGTTGCCATGGTTGGTGGAAATCCACCCAGGTTCTCTCAAGGGTCGCCCGCGCAATTTCTCATCCGGCAGGGATGCCCTTCCACGCCGCAAATACCAGTCCACAGAGGCGCCCTCGTATCGCCCCTAATTTCATTTGCAACGTCCTCTTTTCCTCGCGTATTATCTTTCGCCTCTGCGCGCGTCCCACGGGGTGCTCGGCGGAAACTTGCACGCCCACACGCCCCCACTCACTCTCTCTCTCTCTCTCTCTCTCTCTCTCTCTCTCTCTCTCTCTCTCTCTCCCTCTCCCTCTCCCTCCCTCTCCCTCTCCCTCCCTCCCTCTCCCTCTCTCCGTTACTAAACCACTGGACACACGTATAGTAGATGCCCCGACGTCCCTGGCGAGAACGCAGCATGTTTGGACACAAAAACGCGGCACGCGCGCCGTCTCCAAACACCCTGCGTTATTTGTATTTGGAGTCAGTCAGCACAAAAACAGCGATCTCCAGCCACAATATCGCCCGACGAAAACAAAAGAGAATACGATAAATCTTTGTGCGGCAAATATGGTTGCTGACTTGCCTGACAGGGAAGCAGGAGGGTATTACTTCGTTCGGTACGCGTGGGTGAGAGAGAGAGCGGGGGGGGGGGGGGGGGGGGGGAGAGACTGAGAGAGGAGGGAGGCGGAGGGAAAGGTTACACAACAAGAAGGTCTGATTGGCCCGCTCCTCCCCTAATGCTCGTATTCGTTCGATGCGAGGGTCTCTGTGCTGTCTGACTCCACACACGCACTGAATGTATGTGTACCTTAATTATTGTCCGTAAGAATTGACATGTTCAAACATCAGAGAGCTTTGAGCAATTTTTGGCATAATTTGAGTTATTTCTCTATGATGTACTTGTGTTAGTGAAAATGTACCTAATTTATGTACAAATTTCTGCCTAACGTTGACATTACACGGCAATTAACTCTTCTGCACCAACATTTGAAAAGCATTTCTCTCCCCCCACCCCTCTCTCCCTCTCCCTCCCCTCTCTCTCCTTCTCTGTCCCTCTCCCCCCCCCCTCTCTCGCAACTGCCGCCCGTCCCATGCGTGCGACGGAGACACGGTGATGAAACCAGTGTTCGGGAAATGGCCGCTGCACCAGAGCACCACTAACCGGTTGCTCCAAATTAGCCTTTCTTGCTGAGTAAGGTTGGGGGGGCCTTAGAGGCTGGCGAGCCTTAAAAGCCACGCTGCCATGCAAGCGAAAGTGTGTTGACGTGTGCGCGTCGCTGGGCGTCGCTGGGGCCGTGGAGGAGGGCACTGTCATCTTAGACCAGGGGGCGCTAAAGGCTCGGTCAACATGCCCTCGCTCGCCGAGCCCGGCTAGCCCGCAGGGCACCGCGGGGCCACCAGCCCGCAGCTACACATCAGGCTTTTGGACTTAGACGAACAGCGGACAGATCACCGCGAGGGGGGCAACCACTTGTCATTTTTCCGTGCAGAAGATTCTCCGAAGACTTAATTTAAGCGGAAACTTAACAACATTTTGCGGGATTTTGATGGGATTTTGCGAGGTTTCGCCCGATATCGAAGGGATCTCACGAGATTCTAACAGATCTCAACCTTCTTTGCGCAAGATTTCGACTATTTAAGTTTGCACAGGATTTGAAAAAAAAATTGCCCTCGGATCGCTACGTTTCCTGTTTTTCAACGAATATGGGATGTCATATTCGTCAGAGAGTGAATTTAGTCTCATTTATAATGATTGCACATTCCTTTAGATGTTGATCTACGCAACATAGCAACACATTTGACTCTAGCAAGTTAAGTTTTGGTTATGCACAAAATAATTGTTTCCAGCTGGTAACAAAAAAAAAGTCCATAGGCAGAGCGCAGTGTGCAGAGCGCCGATTTCATAACATTCCCCTCTTTGCACCAATTGTGCCCAGGAGGTGTTCGGGCAGTGTGTTATACGGCTCAACAAATATTGGATGGAATGGATGAGTCGATGAGCCAATCTACCTCTTTGTGTGCGCGATATGCGTTGCAGCGCACATGTGGGGTCCACAATAAACCCGATTTATCTGCCCAAGTATTCACTTAAAACATTAAAAATTACCGAAAATACATTTTCGAAAAGTTGTAGAATTGTATTTTTTCTGTCCACATTAAAAGGTGTGTTTTTCTTTTAAAATCGGGCGCAGTGCGGCTTTGAGCTTCGTTTCGCTGGAATGAACCGCCTCGCTTCATCTAAGGGGTCTTGTAAAACGCAGATTCCTCGATCGCTACAAATTTAAAAGGGATTTAACCCTAATGCTCTGCGTGCTCCCAATAGTGATCCCTTTCGCACAGTTAGAGTCAGACTGCAGGTTGCAATTTGTGAAAACGGTCCGCAGTGGCGGTCTCGCGACCCCTGCCCCGCCTCCCGCTGGTCTAGCTTCATTCACTGAGAGTCGTCCCGTTGGAGCCAATGCAGCGCGCAAAGCGCCGCAAAGCCCAGCGGACTGATTCCAAAACCGAGCTTTCGTCGCTCTGTCTCTCTCGCAGCCTCACGGACCGCCCCGTGAGTGCGACAGAGACAGAGCGACGAACGCTCGGTTCAGCCGGCAGCGCCATCAGCCGGCAGCGCCATCATTCGCCTTTTCCGCACTAATTGCTTTTCACGATTCGCCGAGCCGCAAGTGGGAAAGGGACACGCGTCGATTTGCCGCCGCGAGCGAGGAGAGGGACGCCGGGTGAGGCCTTTCCTCCTCTTAGTTAAAACGAGCTTTAAAAGAAACATGTTTTTTTCATCATCAGAAGACACTAAATTCTACAATTGTGTACGAGGTCACACTTTTTTGAGCATCCGAACCTTTCATGATTTTCATACGCAAAACTACACATGCTCTCCCCTTTTATGTGCAAAATCACGTACGAATTCCTACGAAACGTCCATCTGCTTAAAAAACTGTGACCTCTCAAGAACATTGCACTCTCATTCCAAGTACGTGACAACACGACAGAATGTCACGTTCGTTTGAAAATTGTTTCACATTCGTTTGAATGTGAACAAGCAAATTTTTGGCCGATTCACATCCAAACGAATGTGACACGAATGCTCGAACGAACATGACACTTTGTCACACACCCTGAAAAGTGGGTTCTTGGCGTAAGGGTCACTCTTATTACTAGCACCAAATACTCTTGAGCTAAGCGAATATCCATTGTGGCAATGAAATACTCTTGCTGCCGTCCAGAGTATCTCTACGGGCAAGACCACCCTTTTCAGGGTGCATTCGTTTCAACGTGATGTCACGTTCCTGGAATGAGAGTGTGAATTGGGAACACGTCCTGTCGACCACGAGGGAGCTGTTCCTTTGGTCTTGGATTAAAATTGAGGCGTTTGCCGAACGGGGTGGAGGTGCGAAGTAAGTTGTGTACACCATACCAATAATAGTGGGCCGAGGCGGGGCGTGGCGGGGGCCTCGTAATCGTAAAAACACGAACCGAAATAGACCGACAATGACCGCACCGAGTCCGAAATAAGGCGTTGCCCCCACCACCACACTGTGCTGCGGCGTCTGCCCGACCAACCAACGTTATTAACTCGGCGCCAGTAGTTCCAAAGATGGAACCGCAGTTTCCGGTTCGCGCGTGGACCTCATTGTTGTAGTAATCGGAGCCTATGGGCTCCACAGCCATACCAACGCATAGCGGCCAACATTAAGACCAAAGACGACATGCGCGCACACTTCATGCTTAAAAAAAAAAAATTTTGTGCGCGGCGTCACAGTTTCTTTGACGAGTGAACTTCCCGAAGGAATTTGTACGCGACTTGAGTCCAAAGTAAAGAAGAATACGAAGATATGTGCAGTTTTTCGAAAGAAAATAAGTTTACCTGCGCTACAAAGTGCTACGTCTAACAAGATTGGATTTAAAATTTAATGTGAATCAAATAGACTATCACAAGTTGCGTCTGTGTGTGTGTGTGTACGCGCGTGCAGGGGTTGAAAGGGGAGGGGGTATTAGGTATTGGAAGAAGCTGAGCACGTCGCACACGAGACTACAGCATTGTTAGAGAAACTATATCCCCGGTGACCGCGTTCGTGTGTGTGTGTGTGTGTGTGTGTGCGGTGGTGGTAAAGGGGGGGGGGGCACGCGCATGTGTGCATTGTACGCTCAAAAGCTACCATGCCATGGGTTCCTGTGTCCCGCGGCGCCGGTTCAGGTATTAAGCGAAGGTGGCGGTAAGGTCGCCATGAACGACGAACCCCCCTACCCCTCCCCCTTTTCACGCGCACACACACGCACGCACACACACACACAGATTGTACACCCCCGCGGCGCCGATCCACCGTCGTGATCCACGACTACACAGTAAAACCAGTTCCCGATTTCCCCAGGAAGCCTATGGTAAAGACATAGGCGATTTCCCGGGAGATCTTGGGAAAACCAGGAACCGTTTTTACTGTGTAAGGGGCCATCCTTAAAATACTTCCAAAAGTATGGAACCATAAAATGTCGGCGCAGCCTTCCACTGTAAGACACCTACAGTGCACTATTACGCAAGTGCATAGCCCCGACCCAGCGCGTCCGGCATCACAGTGGGCCAGAGGGCCAGAGGAGGCGGCAAAGACGCGTTTGCGCTCCAGAGTCCCGAAATAGGACTCGAACCGAACGTGTGACTCACCACCAATATTCCTCGTTCGGAGAGCAATCCACTGGTGGGGTCACACGTTCGGTTCGAGCCCTGTTACCCAACTCTGGAGCGCAAACGCGTCTCTAGAGGTTTGGCCGCCTCCACCGGTCTTCTGGCCCACTGTGCGCAGCCGATGCGGCGGGTGGGGCCCAGAATTAATTGACGCATTCGCCAAATGTTTGGCCGGGGTCTGGCTCGCTGGTGCGCCCGGGGCCCTCGGCTTCGCCCTCGGCGAGGGCTTGGGGAGGGTCCGGGGAGCGGCGCGCCGCGGCGTGTACACACGTACCTTCACTGGAAAGACGTAGATGGGGTGCCCGGGGCTGGAGTTGTGGGCCGTCGTCCGGCGCGGTCGGGCCTCGGCCCCTCCATCGTGGAGCGCGTAATCCTGAAGCCGTCTTGCAGTGTCACTAACACACGCAGAAGCACACACACACACACGCACACACAGTCACATGGCGGCGGTCCGCTTCGACACGAGGCCTGCGGGAACGGGTGCGGACGGCGGCGGAGTCTTGGGCGAGCTAGACGCCGACCTTCATGGCGGCCGACGGGGTCCTCAACAAGTCGCCCTCCTCGCACGGCCTCGCAGGGCCTCGGTGGGCGGCGGACAGGGCGCGCGGCGGCCGCGGTGCGAGAAACGGCTCGGCGAGGCGCGCGGCGCGGAGGACGGGCGGCGAGCGCAGCGGGGCCCGAAGCGAACTCTGCCGAGGCTCGACAGCCAATGCGCCGCCTAGCGCCGCCTAGCGCCGCAGTCCCCCGGCGGCCGGGCGGCGCCGCGCGGCGTGGCGGGACGGGGCGCGGTGTCGGGTGGCGGGGTGTGGCGCGGCGCCGCTACCCCGCTCGGGGCGCATGGCGGCGTAGGCCGGTGTAAGCATGGCGCCGGAGAAGAGGGAAGAACGACATCAAGCCGCGCGCCCCTCCCACGCCAACCGGCATCCCGGCATCGCTCAAAATTCAAAGCTTGGCCGTTCCTCTCCCCACTGCCTGACGGCCTGACGGCCTGACGGCCTGACGGCCTGACGGGCTGACGGCCTGACGGGCTGACGGCCTGACGGCCTGACGGCCTGACGGCCTGACGGCCTGACGGCCTGACGGCCTGACGGGCGACGCGACCGCACCAGCTGCTTCCCTTGTGCGATCGCGCCGAGCCGCGCGGCCCTCCAGCACGCTTCCAGCACGCCTCACGCTTTCGGCATGCCTCTGGAACGCTTCCAGCACACCTTCTAGCACGCCTCCAGCACGCTTTCAGCACGCCTCGAACACTCCTCACGCTTCCATCAAACCTTCTAGCACGCCTCTAGCTCGCCTTGAACGAGCCTCACGCTTCCAGCACACCTTCTTGCACGCCTCCAGCTCGCCTCGAACGAGCCTCACGCTTCCAGCACACCTACCTGCTAGCACGCCTCCACCACGCTTTCAGCACGCCTCACGCTTCCAGCACACCTTCTAGCACGCCTCGAACACGCCTTACGCTTCCAGCACACCTGCTAGCACGCCTCCACCACGCTTTCAGCATGCCTCTGGAACGCTTCCAGCACACCTTCTAGCACGCCTCCAGTGCGCTTTCAGCACGTCTTCTGGCACGCTTGTAGCACACCTCCTATCACGCCGCTAGCACTTTTTCTGGCTCGATTTCTAGCAGGCCTCCGGCACTCCTCTAGCGAGCCTTGAGCACGCTTTCTAGCACCCCTTGAGCACGCTTTCTAGCACGCCTCTAGCGAGCCTCGAGCACGCTTTCTAGCACGCCTCGAGCACGCCTCGAGCACGCTTTCTAGCACGCCTCGAGCACGCTTTCTAGCTCGCCTTGAGCACGCTTTCTAGCACGCCTCTAGCATGCTTTCTAGCACGCCTCGAGCACGCCTTCAACACGCTTTCTAGCACGCCTCGAGCACGCCTCGAGCACGCTTTCTAGCACGCCTCGAGCACGCTTTCTAGCACGCCTCGAGCACGCTTTCTAGCACGCCTTGAGCATGCTTTCAGCAGGTCCTCTTGAACGCTTTCTAGCACGCTTTGAGCACCCCTAGTGCACGCTTTCTAGCTCTATCACGCTTCGAGCACGCTTTCTAGCACGCCTCGGCACGCTTCTAGCAGCCTTGAGCACGCTTTCAGCAGCTCTTGAACGCTTCTAGCACGCTTCTAGCACGCCTCGGCACGCTCTAGCCTTCTACGCCTCGAGCACGCTTTCTAGCACGCCCGTGCCAGGGCACGCTTTCCAGCCTTTGACGCTTCTAGCACGCCTCTGAGCACCTCCGCAGCTTTCTACTCTCTCGAGCACGCTGCCTAGCACGCCCGTGGCCCGTGGCACGCCTCCCAGATGGCCAGCCAAAGGCGAGCGCCTCGTGGATCCGCATTTCTCTCTCTGAGGCGAGGCTGCCTAGCACGCCCGTGGCCCGTGGCACGCCTCCCAGATGGCCAGCCAAAGACGAGCGCCTCGTGGATCCGCATTTCTCTCTCTGAGGCGAGGCTGCCTAGCACGCCCGTGGCACGCCTCCCAGATGGCCAGCCAAAGACGAGCGCCTCGTGGATCCGCATTTCTCTCTCTGAGCCGAGGCTGCCTTTGGGGGGTTTATCGCGTTTCGTTGCACACGTACAGCACCTCGTCCTTCCTGTCCGGCCTCCGGTCTTTTACCTGTCACCACCAAATCCCCCGCCAGATGGCGCTTTTCACATCCCTCTGTCAACAAACTTCATCTCGAGGATTAGGCTGTATCGCCGACCATCTCTTGCAGCCCTCGCGGTCTATGGCGTACAATCCTACACCCCGACTCGCACAAACAGAATCCGATTAAATCGGAACTTGAGGTGGTTTACCGTTAACACGTTCAAGCCCATTTTGGTGGTACATCGATGTATCACCCTTTCATGGTCATTCATTTTCCCATCCCTAGTTAAGATAGTCACCCAGCGCCCGGGCGAGTAAGGATTGTTTTGCAGAGCGCGCCGGAGAGCAAGGTTGGTCTCGTAGCGCCCGGGCGAGTAAGGATCATTTTCTCAGGAGGGTCGATTTGACTAATTCTCCAGACTCCGAGACCCTACCCGTTCAGTAGCGGTGTCATAAGGCGTTTGCAATATTTCCGTGTTTCAGTTTCTTTTTCTGTTTTTTTTTTTATTTTTTATGTACGTGTTTGCCACCTGGGGCCTCAGCGCCTGCGAACGTCGGGTAGGCAAGCCCGTAATACACGCGAGCTCAACGGGTGGCCCACCGCAAGTTCGCAGGCGCTCCAGGTCGCGCGGAGTGGAGAGCAGGCAGTTCTCGACGAGACTTTAATCTTTCTTTATTTGGCCAAGGTATATAGACCGGTGGGCTCTGTTTCGTCATTGTTGTTCCTTCCATGATAAATTACGACTGTTATTCAACGATATTGACTTTGCATAACAAATCTTTTTAAGAAAATTTCTTCCATTTGCTTGAGCTGTGAACTAGGCTACGCACCCCAGCAGTGGGTAGGCCTAACTACGATTCAAAATTTAGGGATTAAAAGACTTTTCTCTAGCCTGTGGTGACCCTGATCTTCTCAGTGTCTTTTTTCTTCGCTGTTGAAGGCTACACGGAGGAACTCGGAGCTGCGACCGAGGTAATTGAAACGTCTTCCATCGATGATACCTCACTCAAGCGGAAAATTGCTGTTCAAAAGCATGTGGGTTTCATCCCAGAGCGCGTCCGGGTGTGCATAAAAAGTATTCAATAAATATTACGGAAAGTGATTCCTATGGAAGGCTGAAGGGAGGTCAGCACCGTCCTTGTACGGTCGGGAACTTACCGTCCTGCTACGGTCAGTGTGGACAAATGCGTCTCACCCTTCCCAACCTCATTTTCTATTTTCAGTGTTGGTTTGCGTACAACTGAATGAGAATGGCACCTTATCCTCATCCACACGCGACTGACCCAGTCTTTCAGCGCACTGTAAATTTCGTACGATGAAAGGCTGCATCAACATATTATGGTGGAGATTTTCTCCATAATACCAATGAAATTCGTCAAAATATCTGTAAGGTACAATGTATTTATTCTCAACGGTACGTTATGAAGTCAGCTGCACCACCAATATGGAACATTTTCACCATAATGTGGAGAATCTTCACTGTACTACATTTAGTGCGGTCCAGCGTTTGTAAATCATCCAAAAATTATTCACCAATTCAAATTTTAAGAAAGGTAACACAATGCTCAAAGGACCGTGACACTTCTTTATATTTCTTTCAATGTGATGACACAGTGGGAACGTTTGTTTTGGTCACCACTCATTCCGTTTGTGGCCCGCGGCCGCTGTTTGCATGCAGTGTACAGTGCTTAGGACGGACAAAGCCAAGGCACGGCTGCGGCTCCAGTGGTGGATTGGCGGTGGTGAGCGGGGGAAATAGCTTGGCCACATCAAAGGATTCGTAAGACCCGCCTTCCCCCTCCCCTTTAGCAGGAGTGCCCAAACACTTGTGCCACTAATTGCGAATAAATGTCACCACAACACATTGATTAAGCGGCAGTTGTAAAAAAAGAACTTTTTATATCTTTTTATAACAAAAAGATCAACGCAAGCGGCATGAGATTTGTCCCCGCTTAGTTTCGGTCCGCTGCGTCTCTGCAGTTCCAGTGGCGACGCGGGAGGGCCCCGACTGAACATAGCAAGACACCATTACTCATCCTTATGGGGCCTAAGTGACACTGCACTGCCTTCGTTACACGGAGCAGTAAATCCCCCTCCCCTCCCACACACTCTTTGCCACCAACTTCGCAAAACACCTTAAAATTCTTCCGGGGACCTGGTCGTTGATCTAGGGGGTTAAGATGCCGGTGGCAGCCCAAAGCGCTGTGACGCGAGGCGCAAGATCCCTTCCCTCTTCCTCTTCCCAGCGATTTGGAAATAATGGTTGTCTAGGTCCACTGCTTCAAATATCGCGGAAACTCTCAAAGACCTTTTTTGGGAAAAGAAGGCTCCCACACGGAAAATAGACGTCTATAGATTAAGCTAGACCGTCTAGATGTGGTCTTCAAAAGTCTATCTACGTCTATAGACAAATTTAGACAATCTATAGATGATCTTTAGTGTCTATAGAGATCTATGGACTGAAGTAGACGGTCTATAAAGGATCTAAGGCGCCTCTAATTCGTCTATGTCTAACTATAGATGCAACTGCAGACGTCTATAGATGATCTTTCTTGTCGAAGTTCATCTAAGGACTCACAGGACAGATCTACCTGATATCTAGCAAAGGTCTATCTGCAGATGTCCACACGGTAGATTTCATGTAGACAGCTAAGGTCGTTGAAACATGGACGTCTAAAAATATATCACATGTAGACTATCTATAGATGCACAATGATAGACTTTATGCAGACGCCACAAAGACTAATTTCCGTCCCAACTTCTTAGGTCAGCCCATAGCGTAGTGGGTGAGATCTTGGTCTGCAAAGTAGAAAGATGTCTTTCTACTCTTTAGATAAGGTACTAGACGGATAAGCTTCTCTTAACTGCCACGAGAGCGCGCCACGCGCAAAGCACGTCTGCCCGCTCGCGGTGACGACTCCGTGAGCCAGTTCTGTTATAGTCTCTACGCCGTTCTCCTCTTCTTTGAAGAGTCCTCTTAATATAATCG